TGGGGCGGTACAACCGTCCGTGCCCCTTGTCCATTGTTAACAAGTTATTAGTGACACTGACAAGCTAGAACGCCGACTGGAGTAGTGTCAACTGCACTGGAATAGGACTGAACAGTAAAGCTTCTGCTCGCTTCACACTGGTGTACTGTTATGGCGGCCAATGCTGTTTTCTCTCAATTGCCCTCTATTGGATCAACAACGGACATTGCTATTTCTTCGCCTTCGTCTTCAGTGAATGGGAAAGGTCAGGCCCCGTCGTTTGGACTCTGTAAAGATCCTGTCTTTTTTATTTAAAATTTGTGGGTTCTTCTCTGTTTGTAGAATATTTGGTTGGTTTTTCCTTTTTGACTTGTCTTTGAATACATTCCAAGCAATGGGATGAGGAGGAGACTTATTGCTTCTGATTGTAAGTAATGGGGTTTAACGGTTTTTTTTTCATTTTTTTAAAGATTTTAAAAAAAAGGAAAGAAATCTTTTTTGCTCTTTAAGTGGGTCTGATGAATTTAGCATATTAGCGTTTGGAGTTTTGAGTACATTCCTGAAAGCGTAGATTATTTAGTCGATGCTTTTATCCTTTTATTTCAGAATTAGTAGAGTTTATCCCCTCTAATTCGAAATCTTTATGCTTTTGTAGTATGCATCTTAACGTTATTTTCCTGTAAAAATATTGTGGATAAATTCAATTAGCATGAATTTTTTCAGCTCAGTTAACTCATTAGGAAGCATCTATAAATCATGAGTCCTCTAGAGTCTCGAAGTCTGTTTTGTTTATATCCTGCTTTTGTATATTTGGACTTGGAAGCCTTCTATTTCTTTCCTCTTTTGTCATTTTTATTGTAGAGTGAAAATCTAGAAAGATTTATGAACTAATATGCTTGTTATTCTAAGCACCATCAGTTGGCCAATTCTCATTTCAAGCAGATTGTTCTTGTTGTAGTAGGCCTTTACAAATTTTTATAAAGATCATAACTAAATTGATTGCACGTCATACATTACATTATCTGAAATTGGATTTTCAAATGTTTAGAAACGCCCTAAAGTGAGTTGGATTGATGCTGCTAATCATGTCTTGGCAAAGATCTGTCTCACATTCAAAATTTGTCCAAATGATGGTCCAAAATTTTCGTACTTGTGTTCTTTTTGATATTCTGCTGTTCCAGCTAATTCAGGTCTGAAGGATTTTCTACACATTAATGATTTTGATAAAGCCACGATTTTGAATATTTTGGAACGGGCAAAAGAGATCAAGGCACTGATAAAATCAGGGGAGAGGACATATCTTCCATTTAAGGGTAAAACAATGGCTATGATTTTTGCCAAGCCATCCATGAGGACAAGAGTTTCATTTGAGACAGGGTTTAACTTGCTTGGTGGTCATACTATATACTTGGGACCAGATGATATCCAGATGGGTAAGCGGGAGGAAACCCGTGATGTTGCTCGTGTTCTGTCTCGCTATAATGATATCATTATGGCTCGTTTGTTTGCTCATCAGGTATGCTGGTGAGACACCTCTCCAAATTTTTTAGACTGTATGAGAATCTTCAATTTTCTCGACATGTAGAAATTTTAAAGAAATGAAAATCTTGCTCCACATATATGATAGGCATTTCGAATGACCCTTATGATCCTGCAGTAGTTGTTTTTTCTTTACATTGCTACTCCCATCTTCATCGAATGAAGTTACTTATTAAGCCAATTCTGTTGAAAATATGCAGACAGGAGATTGTGTGTCCTTTTTTAATGTAAGTGGTAGGTCTCAAACTCAGGGCCTCTCACTTGCATTTGATTTTCATCATCTTCCATAATATTTTGTCCATTTGTTGTGTGAATTTACTTTCTTTTTCTTCTTTTTGAGGATGCTAGTTCTGCTTAGTCTAAAATAATGTTTATCTTTTATGCCGACAGGAAAAGTTAAAAGTAAAAAGTCCAAACCAACTACATTCCCCCATATATAGGAGCTCCTGAAAGACAGTGCAAAATTTTGAATTGGGTGATGTAAAAGCTTCAGTTCACTTTTCTTTGCTGATTCACAGTATTTAGAAGGGCAATGTTGATTTCTGAATTCAATTATATACATTTACCTGAGGTTAATTACTCTGACTTCAGGACATTCTTGAACTGGCTAAGTATGCAACTGTTCCTGTTATCAATGGCCTGACAGATTATAACCATCCTTGTCAAATTATGGCTGATGCACTGACCATCATTGAGCACGTTGGTCAGCTGGAAAGGACTAAGGTGTGCCTCTTCTATATGCTCTTTTACCTGGGCACTTATTTGGTTGTCAAATTAAATTTCTCAATAATCACTCATTTTGTTGGATAATTGAATATTCCAGGTTGTTTATGTTGGAGATGGAAACAACGTTGTGCATTCTTGGCTGCTGTTGGCATCAATTGTTCCTTTTCATTTTGTCTGTGCCTGCCCTAAAGGTTTTGAACCGGATTAGGAGACAGTTAAGAAAGCACAACAGACTGGAGTCAGCAAGATTGAGATAAGTCACGATCCCAAAGAAGCTGTTATAGGAGCTGATGTTGTGTATTCAGACGTTTGGGCTAGTATGGGTCAAAAAGAAGAAGCTGCATATCGCTGTCAACTATTTCAAGGATTCCAGGTATATAACCATGATTACTTACTGCCTGACCTGTAAAGCTTGACAAGTGGACCGCATTAGACCACAATATGAAGCCTTGCTACCATTTTAAGGCATCTTTTAAGACGTGATTGACTATGAGACTAGTCAAATTCCTAACCACCACCTGCAGGTATCCATTCTTCTTAGATAAATCGAGTTCTATGTTTTTGGCTTTAGGAAAAACATAGTTTGAGTACAGCCACATGGCAGAACTGAATAACTGGGAAAATATATTGCTAACTCAAAGCTTTACAAATTTTTGAACGCTATGGCTTGGATGGTGTTAACTTTTAAGTTCGCCAGGTAGCGGCTGAACTTTTCAGACGATACGATGCTAGTAGGATGAGCTACTTAAGATGACAAATATGCGCTACTTGAGAGTGATGAGTGTCTGTTGCGACTATATCTCAAAAAACAGCCACAGAAGCTCTTACAAACGCATGTGCATGAGGACTATGCGGCAGAATTATTTATGTATTTATCAGCCAGATGAGAAGATGTTGATAAAACATATTAGCATAGTTAAATTAGTAATGTTGTTCGCCAGCATGTTTATATGATGGTCTTTCTGCAATGGCAGAGCTGCTGCCCAGCAGTCAGCGCGGTTGCCAAATCAACAGGGTCAATATCACATGATTTAAGTTTTGATTATTACAAACTAAACAAAAATGTGCACAAAGATTACATTAATTTTGTTTGTTTCTAGATTTAAAGTTGTTGAAATTGTTTCTTGTTCAAGTGGTATTTTTACTTTTCAAATATTGGTCATGGTACTAATTTTATATATTTATGGGTGGCAATGTGAGAGTAGGTTGGAATTTTGCCAAATTTTAGTTGGTGCAAATGTGAGGCAAAGTGAAGAGTTTTGAAAATTTACAAGCCTAATTTTGTGTGTGTGTGTGTGTTTTTTTTCCCTGTGGGGGAAAGAGGGGAGGGGGGGTCGGGGATGCGAGGCGTATCTCTGTAGCAACTGATACTTGCAGCAAACACAGAAAAGGTAATAAAAGATTGGACAAATCAGAAAACTAGCAACATGGATATTTCCAGCATTCCGCTAAAGAAGGGATTGTGTTGTGTTACTTTCGATAATGGTTGTTTTACAGAAATATCTGTGAAATGGAAATAATCGGAAGAACCCAAGAAGCATTTGAACACAAATATATACTTCATGCTTTTTCTGAAGTGTGCGAGTCCAATGCAATGTACTTATTTTTGACGCGATATCTACTTGCAGGTGGATGGGGAACTGATGAAAGTAGCTGGGCCTAAAGCTTATTTTGTGCATTGTTTACCGGCAGAAAGAGGTGTAGAGGTCACGGATGGTGTTATGGAAGCTCCAAACTCCATTGTCTTCCCCCAAGCTGAGAACCGGATGCATGCGCAAAATGCCATCACGCTTCATCTGCTTGGAGTATGAATTTTCTTAGTCAAGGGACTTCAATTGATCCATATCATTTAGTTGACCCTTTTTCATTGTTCTTTCTCAGTGCAATTGGAAAACTTAGCCATGTCTTCCTCTGTGGTCTGTGTTTTTCTTTTTTTTCCCTTGTTAAACTCTTCTAAGAAAAGCTTAAATGTAGCGGGAATAATTATGTGGGTACGAATCGAGTACCTGTCCTATCCACTATTTGGTTGACTCGACCCGCACCTTGCGAGTCAACTATTTTCTGACCCTTATTCATTCCGCATGTCAGCGGATATCCTGTTATGAGATAGGGTCGAGTAAACGGATACCCGATCTGTCCCATTTATCATTCAATTTTTTTTAAAAAAATAATTTATACTAATTTAATTTTATAATTTACATATTCATCTACGATTTAATAAAGATTTTTTTCTCAAAAAAAGTCTCCCATCAAGAAACAAGAATGCGAAGAAAATACAAGATAAAGGAAAAAAATTAAAAGAATTCAAAATCAATAAAAGTTTGAAATAAATAACACATTTTTTAAAATATATGTTCTACATTAATTAAACTCTTTTTTATAAAACATAAGATTATGACTTTTATAAGCGAATCTTGTAAATAAATTATAATCTCTCATATTTGTAATCTCATATTTGTAATGCAATTTGTTCAATAAAATTACTTATTAACTTTAAATTATTATTTTATAATATGTATAAAAATTAAATATATATATATATATATATATATATATATATATATATATATATATATAGAGAGCAGATAAGGTATCCGCAAATTTTTAATTATGTGACCCTAATTCGCCGCGCATCTTAACAGATACCTAAAGTGTATTCCCTATGGGTTTTTGATACACTATTTTCTATTTCAAATGAAGTGTATTATATGATATCTTAACTCATAGAGCCATTTGTGCAAATTCAACATCCGAAATTCCGAGGTGATCAAAGCTTCAGGTTCATTGGGGGTGAGGCTTAGTTAAACAAAATAGTTATGTGGGCCTTTGAGGTTAAGCCGCGAGTCTTTTCTCTGCGACCGTTACAAACTTCTTCCATTGTGAATCCAATTGTCTCTACATTGTGAAATTACTAGAATTTGCATAAAATTGCCTATTACTAGAATATCGTAAATATATCTACATGGTGAGAGGAGATTATGGCAAATGAAACGAGGGCAGCTACAATTACAGTGCTGGCACCATCTCTCGAATCTTTGTTCACCTTTCTTCGGAGTTGAATTTGTTCCATGCAGCCTGCATCTCGAAGGACTAATAGATTAGATGAACAATCACACATTTATCAAACAAATTGATGGGAGAAAGGTCACAGAAAAAAAAATTTTAAATGAATCCGGCAAGACTTCGAAAAAGGTTAAGGTGACCGTATAAGAGGGTGATGCTAAGTCTCAGTGACGGAAAATGGCTACATGACACACCGCTTTGCAGACTAATTGTTTTTCTCCCTCAAGCAACAAGTCTCAAATTTGGAGTCAAGACTCAGCATAGAAGAAAAAACATGCACCTTGAGAAGATCAAAGACTTTTTCGCATATGTACTTTTGCTGGATGCTTGCCCCCCTTTGCTGTAACTTGTCAGGATGAACATAAAGAGTTGCCTTCCGGTAAGCTTTCTTCAGAGCATTAGTGGTTATAATCTCTGTCAGGGAAATTGACTGCCATCCACTGTTTGGCCCTAGAATCTGTATTCAGTGAGAGGATTATCAGCCAATGCCTAATACAATCAGCAATTAGAAGGGCAACAACTAACTCCACATGAGAAGAGGCAAATCATATTAAGAGTCAACTAGAGTTGAACACTTCTTGCATGCATTCACATCCACCAAGACACCGAGGGAAAATAGTGTCATTGTAAATCACGTATGTAGGATCACACAAGAACTTCAAGCATCACAGCAAGGAACGTACTAACTTAACATCAAAATGAGATCAATTGGAGTATTTTCGCAGCAGTTTTTAATCAATTTGATGCAATAGTGAAGTTTGACAACTTCCAAAATCGAGTTAATCAGAGTTTTGATTTTTTTTTTTCCAATTTTGAAACTGGAACATCGCAAGACCAAAAATGAAGAAAACACTGATGCAACAAGGAAGCTGAAAACATACGTATTGGAGAGTTGACAGCAGTGCCCGCAAGTTCCCCTCCTTCCCACTGGCCCATCGCTTAATATCTGCATCAAGAGTTTCTGCTAGTCTCTGTATTTCAGGAATACAAACAAGCTGGTGAGACAAAATGCATAATCTTTTATAGGGGAGGTCAAATAGTAAGGGAGAATTATTACATTTCTCTCGGCTTGCTCTCTCTGAGCAAGAACATCTCGAAGGTTCTTCTCTGCAAGGGCTTTTGCCTGAAAAGCAGACATCAGAACATTATCATAAATAAGTAGGCCAAAGTGAATGTCCAGTATTCTTAAAAATTATGAATACAACAAATGCGTACCGCTCTTTCCATGATTCTCTGATGTCGCTCTAACCTTGCTTTACGTCTCTGAGCTGATTCATTATTGGTCCCATCAAAGCTCTCTAAATCCTGTCGGATATACATGTATCAACCACTGGAGATGCAAGTAGATATCACACTTTAAGAGAAATGACAATTTCATGAAAGACACTCACAGATGAAGAAAAGCTGTGTTTTAACCCATTAACTCTGGAAGCACCAGAAAACTTTCCAGAAGCATTTCTTTCTGCCTGCGTTCTCATCTCACTGGTAGTCTTCTGGGACAATGCTTTTTCGAGAGCACGCTCACGAGCCTCTGCAGTAGCTCTCTCTACTGCAGCACGTTCTGCCCTAAGCTTGGCATCAATGGAAGAAGCTTTACCTGTTGGCACCTTTGGCCCAGAAGACTTCTTCTCAAGCTTTTCCCGTGCTTCGGCCATTGCTCTTTGTCGAACTTCAGCAGTTGCTTTGTCCACAGCAGCTCTCTCTGCCCGTTCTCGGGCTTCAGTAAATGCCCTTTCACGAGCTTCACGAATTGCTCTTTCAACGGCTATTCTGTGTTTTTTCTGCTCTCTTTCCCTCTTGTTTACTTCAGTACTTTTAAGGCAATCCTTTGCTGCCTCTTCTTTTTGCACATTTTCTCTGATTTCCTTATCTTCCTTCGCAAAGGTTTTGCATCCATTCTCCTCATTATGTTCTGTACTTTGGCCTGTTTTCATCTCAGTATTAGTTTCCACATGTTCTTCCCATTTAAGCTCCACAGGGAATTCAGAATTTCCTGGTTCCTTTTGGCTCTTGATGCACTCTCTTTCTTCGAGATGTAATTCAATAGTATCTTTTTCATCATCTTTCTCATGAGCAATGCCATCCACATGGACACTTTCTGCATTTCCCCCAGATTCATGAACTAAACCACCACCATTTGCTGGATTGATGCCAGATTCAAATCCTCTGTCAATTTCTTCACTTTGTTTTTGCCCATACACTTTGTCAACCAACCCAGCACAACTTTCAGTTTTGATAGAATTTTCGGATTCATTGTCATTGTTGTGAATTTGTTTCTGCCCATTCATGTTGAAATCAAAATTTGATGAATCTTTAATTTCGGAAGGAGCATCATTTGCCTGTTCACCATCTACTGTGTCCTCTGTGGTGCAATTGGAAATGAAAACAGTTGTAATAGCTGTCTCTGCGTCCTTTGACAGTTCTGCCTCACAATTAACCTGTGTAAAACCAAAATCTGCTGTCTTTTCAAAAAAATCAACAACCTCAGAGACATCTCTTATCCCGCTCTCCATTGTATGCACTTCTTCACCCTTCAATGTGGATGCCTCTTCAATGTCCTGGGGTGCTTCCGCATCCTCTTCGAACTCATAAAAAGATTCTGGGATCCCCACTTTGCGAGCCTCCTCTTCATTGTTTCTTCTTTCCTGTTGATTATTTTGCTCACTGCAATTTTCTACTTCAGATCTGCATGGCTCCTGAATGTCATCTGGGTTGACACTCTGATCATTGTTGTATGCATCAAAATCCGTATCAAGACTCTCCTTGTAAGCAGCCTCCTGAAATAAATTTGCCCCAGGATTTTCCGCACTATCTACTGTTCGGTCCCAGGAGTCACCAACTTTTTGAACGGAGTTACCAACTTCTTGAACCTCTTCATTGACTTCTATCTTCTGGTGCACTGAGCTGTTATCAGCATCTTCATCCATACCATCCTCTTCTATACTTTGGCAACTCCCTGCAGATCTTCTATCCATTGCTTCCCATACATGCTCTTCCTCTGACATATTCTGGTTTTCCTCTCCATTAACAGATTGCGTTGATCTCTGCCCATCAGTTTCTTGCTTATAATAACCTTCCAACCTATCCTCAGAATCATCTTCCAGTCCCTTTCTGCTACATACACAGCAAGTGGCCCTCTTTAGCGCATGTTCATTACCAAACCATAGATGAAAATCTTCCGGCTCAAGGTCAACTTCTTCATCCACTTTGCAATCTTCTTGTCCGCACACATGAATATCCTCCAGTTTTTCCTCTCCTTCCTGATCAGAGGATCTTTTCTCTAGCTTCAAGAAGTCATTTTCTTGCAAAAGATTCCCCAACTTTTCAGGCTCAAAGTGTCCTTCACTTATTTTTTCGTTAAAATCCTCATGCTTCTCCTTGCATTTTTGCTCTTCAACTAAATTAGCTCGTCCGTTTTTAGTTACTTCATCTGCTTGGGAAAATATCTGGGTTTCACTTACTTTGTCTTTGTTAGCAAACAGAGATGACTCAGAACCGTCTACATTTTTTTTCAACTCCTCTGACCTTCCAAATGCATTTAACTTAGCCTCTGTATCCCCAGACTCAAGGATTCTGTTAACAGCATTTACTTTCTCACTAGCATTCAAGTCCACGGTCACCTTAACCAGCTTTGGCTCTTCGATGCTATGTTTTTCTTTATCCAAAGTTTGAATAGTGCTATTCCTCTTACCTACCAGCTCAGAGGCCAAAGCTGCCACTCTATGCTTTCCATTGCTAAGCAGTTGAGAAAACCACGTTGCCACCCCATTTTCCTCAGCTACTTCAACATTTTCACCATTTATTGCCACCACACCCTGTTGACCTGTAGAAGACTCCTCACAATCTTTGAAGGGTAAAGCAACTTCACCATTTCCAAATGCAAGGTACTGGTCACCTCCACAGGAATCTAGCATTTCATTATCTACACTTCTACATGCTTCATTCACATTTTTCTCTCTGACATTGTGTAGTTCCTGAACATGCTTCATTTCCCTTGCATCCTTAGTTTTTAACCTCCCCTTAGAATGCAGTTTAGAACCTTGGCCAGAATCTCTTTTTCGTTCCATTATTTCCTTCACAATTCTTATGCTTTCTTGGGCCTGCTCTATGGCTTTTTTTAAAGCAGCTGCAGGGGCAGCAGCAGCTGAATTTACGTCAAGTTCCTCATCAGAGAAAGGAGTTGAATAAGCACCAGTAACCTTTTCAGAAGCCTCGACTTTTTTAGAATTTGATCTGTTGGTGTGCCCCTTGCTATCAAACAGATTGGCTGAAGAACTACAAGGTGGAGGCACATTATAAGGATGTGACTTCATGCCAGGTTTCTCCATATTTGACAGTATATCGCTCGAATTGGATGCATCCTGATAACATTCGCCTTTATCTTTAACCAAACTTTCAGAAGCTTGTATCGTAGGGAGCTGCCATTTGGCTCTCCTCCCAGATTTTTCTTCAGATATGTCAACATTTGAGCTCCTATTATGATTAACTTCTAACTTAACTTGGGGCATTGCCTTATCCTTTTCTCCTTTTTGCTGACGATCACTGCAGTTCCTGTTATGATTAACATCGGATTTGACTGAAGGAATAGCCTTATCCTGTTCCGTCTTTTGCAGACAGTCACTGGAGCTCTGGTTACGACTAACTTGTGTTTTCAATGGGGGCATTGCTCTGTCCTGTTCTGTCTTTTGCAGACAGTCACTCAAGTCCTGGTTATGACTAACTTGTGCTTTCAATGGAGGCATCGCCTTATCCAATTCTGTCCTTCGCAGATGATCAAAGGAGCCCTGTTTATGATTGCATTCTGCTTTAACTTGAGATAATGCCTTATCCTGCTCTACCTTTTGTAAACGGGCAGTTTCATCAATAATGCATGTAAACCCAGGAACAGCATGGAGTTGAGCTATGTGTGTAGTGCCGCTGGAACCATCTTTCCTCTGTTGGCCAGTCTTATGATAAGACATATTAAACTGCTTTCCACCATCAACAAAATCCTCAGATGCTTCAGAAGAGTGGCTTTTATTCTTCTCAGAAGAATTAAAACGATCTGATCCTTTTAGAGGAGGACACGGGTCTGTTGAGATCCTAAAAAAGTCAAAAAGAAAACTTGACCTAGTAAGATAAGGTGACAAGAAAATTTTAGAAGAAAGCCTTGGAAGTAACCAGTACTTGTATGTGATCTGACAAACAGGTACATTGCTACAGATAATCACTGTAAACCTGCAACCCCAGCATCCATATAACATCACTAGATGCTTCAAACACATGCAATAAAAGCTGCTCCCTTCCTGCCTTTTGCCCTATCCCTCTAACAACACAGAGAAAATCACCCCAGAAATGCATTCATTGTACATAAAATATGCACTTTTAGTTTGTCGAGAAAAATGATAATCTGCTAAAAATCTTATTTCATAAGAAGGTTGTCAAACACCTGTCCCGTGTAAACCATAAGCTTTCTTTTATCAGCTGAACAACACCTCACATTAGCGAAAAACAAGATGTGTAATTAATTCTTCTAAACAACATCTCACATTAGCAAAAAACAACAAGATACGTAATTAATTCTTAAAGCAACAAGATAGAGCAAAAACTATCAAAACCTCCAGCTACTGCAACAACCAAAATCCCAAGAATCAGGCTTGAAACAGCAAATTTAAACTTTTCATAATCGCATAAACCTGCCACATAATCAAACTGCACAGGAAAACCTTCTAATACCTCAACATCTGAAAGAAATAATAGCTTACAGGATATTATTGAGACACAATACCCATTTTGGCATGACCAGGCCAAATTTTCCCTATTCTACCAAATGTATAAAATATACATCATTCCAACAAGGTATCATTAGAAACACATTGACTAACAATATTCCAGTTCAATCTGCGAGCTGCAACAAAGGAAAATCTATTATAGCACTTTCCTTGAAACGAAAAGTCCACGACTAAAACACAAACAAAGACAGAGAGAAGTTAAACGAGAAAAGTTCCAGTTTTTAGCAGGAATGGAGAAGATAAGTATCAGTATAATCTTCAAGATTTAAATTTGCTATCAGCAGCCAGTAAGGTCAGCTAAAGAAACTCTATCATTCTCAACATTTCAACAGAAAACAAGAAAAAAGGAGGACATTTTTCACTTCTTCCTGGGAAGATAAGCAAGACCCTTCAACAAACTAAGCATTACCTCAAGAACCCAGAAGGGAAAGGACAAACAAAAATTCAACTCTAATATCCACAAAACAAAAAAGCGAAATATAAAAATTACCTAGCTTTAGCTTTATCGCGCTTGACTTTTTTAACCCCATTAAACAACTCTTCACAAGGCGGCACAGCCATAGCTACATCATCACCGCCAGCACCACCACCAAAGCCTCCAAAAATGGTCGAATAGTCCAGCTTGCTATCGGAGCTCCGAAACCCACCAGGGCCATGTCTTTCGTCCAGGTCCGACAGGTCAAGAACCGGAATAGAACTGCCACGTGTACCATTTCTGCCACCAAAAATTTCAGCGTAGTCTTCAGCAGCTACTTTTCTTGAGGCAAATCCTGCAACAGCTCCGAACCTGGGTTTAGAGCCACCCAGCAAAACGTCGTCGTAGGCGTCTTTACCGGAAAATGACAAGCCATTGCTGTTAGCACTACTGGCATTAGAAAGCTTTCTTCTGTGATGAAAAAAAGGCCCAGTCAAAGACTCCATCGAACAAAAATTTCTTCGAGCTTTAGCCTGGTTTTTTCTCTTCTGGTAAAAACGCGTTTTTCAAAGTTTCTCTGATTTATTATTATTATTATTATTATTTTTTTCTTCCACTCTTCTTCTTCCTCGGTGGTCTGTGTTAAGCCTCTGCAGGGAAAACGCTGCCCTGCAGAGCCAGACAAAAGGCGGAAGAGAAAAAATGAGTGGGGTTAGAATAACAAAATGGAGAAATGATTTTAAGTGCTTGCTCGCTGTATTGGGGCTGTGCTGGCATTTGGCAAGCAGGGAGTGACCGGTTTTGCCGGTGGGGGAGGCAGTGTGGCCCCTATTTGAGACATAACGTCGCCGTAAGGGTATTTTTGGAAATTCGGATCCCACCCCCTTTTGTAGGAATTGTGCATAGGGCTGCAAACGAGTCGAGTCGAATCGAGTTTTGGATTAATCGAGCCGAATCTCGACTAAATTTTACCAAACTCGAATTCGAGCTCGAGCTCGACGAGCCGGTAATTTCGAACTCGAGCTCGAAAAAAAAATAATTATTTTATTTTTTAAAAAATAAATAAAATAACATTTTTTAATAAATAATAAAAATATTAAGGATATATATGTAATTTTACTATTAAAATAAAAAATATATATACTTAAAATAAAAAAATAAAAAATATTATATATATATATACTCAAACTCGCGAGCCGGGCTTAATATTTTGAGCTCGAGCTTGAATCGAGCCGCTCGATTCGTTTGCAGCCCTAATTGTGCAGGCATGAATGAACTATGAAGAGGTTGAGAACCAATTTAGGACGGAATCATTTATTATTAGCTCTATTAGGCTAATTAATTAAACTAGTTTTGAACAAAGATTAAGGGTATTTGTTTTGACTTCAATTGTAAAATCATTAAAAAAGAAAAAAGAAAATTGATTTCATGTATGAACTAACTGCGTAAGAGGAAGTTGGACTGTAAGTTTGAATAATATCTAGTTCACAATAAAATACTATAAGAATCTTCATAATGAAAGCTTGATTTACTTTCTCCATTATTGCTCGTTTCTTTTTTTTTCCTCTCTTTTTGCACCCATTGTTCTGGAGAATATTTTGAGAAAATATAGTGATTGGTAGCTCTGTTTGAATTAGTTGTTTTTTAAAGTGTATTTCAAAAACTTTACTATAATTGTGTGTATGAAAAATTTTTACTGTAAATGTTTTTTGAATTGTTTTTAAAATATATTTTATGATATTTTTATAATTTATAACTTTTTAAGGTATTTTTTAAAAAAACTTTTACACCACCCACCACCACCCCCTCCATCCTCCTCTCTTTTCTTTCCTCCCCCTCCTCCTCCCTCTTTCCTCTCCCTTCTCCCTCCTCTCCTCCTTTCCCCTAATCCCAAACCTCTCTCCTATTCACGGGTGGTGGTTGCGAATCTAACCACCACTTTAGCCGCGACCTTCTTGGTTGCTATCAAAAAGGTCGCGACCAAAAGCCATGAGTCGTGGCTTTTGGCCGTGACCAGAAAGTTGCGGTCAGTGGAGGAGATGGGGTATTGGGGGATGAGGTAAGGGAAGAGAGAAGGGAGGAAAGAGAAAGAGAGAGAGGAGGATGAAGAAAAGAATAGCAGAAGAAGAGAGAGAGAAGGGAGGGTCGTGGGTGTAGGGTGATGGCAATAAGGTGGTGGCAGTGGTGGTGGAGAGTGATGGATGGTGGTTGTGTATTTTTTTGTATATTTGGAGTTTTTTTTATATATATATTATGTGAATATAGTGTTTTTAGAGTTATTTTTATTTGTGTATTATTATAATATTATATATGAAAATTTTGTTTTTCAAAATTTGAAGAATCCAAATAGAGCCCAAGTTATTCGAGCTCAATTTCAAGCTTGTCTTGTTTAAAACTTAGTAAAAAGTTAAATAGAAATATAAGTTTGACTTTAAGGAGGTAAAAAAAACACAATTTGAAGTAAATTTGAAAACTGGAGTAATTTTTGGGCTCGACCAAGGACAAAGAAGATTGGTATGTTTGGAATGTTGTGATTGCTAAGGTGTTTGAATAGTTGGTTCATGGCTGTGGCCCTGTGGGATGTTTAATTTTTTTCAACAGCCTGAATCAGACTTTTGTTGTTTTATAAACCTAATCCCAGAATTAACCTCAAAAGCCGGCAACTCTTGAGGCAATCCCAGGGACTTATATCCCAACCCAAACCCAACCCCAACCCCGATGTGGGACAAATGTACCTATAGGGGGGACCTGCTGCTAAGTGGGATACTACCACCCAATACCCTTTCAACCCTGAGGCAATTTGTCTTTTTTCAACAGCCTGAATCAGACTTTTGTTGTTTTATAAACCTAATCCCAGAATTAACCTCAAAAGCCGGCAACTCTTGAGGCAATCCCAGGAACTTATATCCCAACCCAAACCCAACCCCAACCCCGATGTGGGACAAATGTACCTATAGGGGGGACCTGCTGCTAAGTGGGATACTACCACCCAATACCCTTTCAACCCAATACCTGTGGGATGTTTAATGCGTCAGCGTTTTTACGTGTAGTTTGGGAGTGGGGCCTTTCGTAGAAGTCGCTTATAAGTTGTTGTTCGGATTGTCGTTTTAGACAGCGGGTCCCTTGGGCTTAACTGGGAGCTGCAGAGCTATGTTTGCATAGTTGAACCAAGTATCGACTCAATCGAGTACAAGGGTCAGGGTTCGCTCAGGATTGAACCAGATGATATCATAAATAAAAATTATTTAAAAATTAAAATATTGTATGCAAAAAATCTAAGAGCATGTTAATATTAATAAAGGTATATTCATATATATTTGATGTTTCAAATATATTTAACAAGAAAATACAAAGAAATTAGAACGATCAAGTAGCAATTTATATTATTTAATGAACAGTAACAAGTTTAGAATTAAAATTATGGATTTGATTGAAAAATAACATCAAACTTTAGGACACCATTTATAAAGTATGAAATATTTGAAATATATTAATAATTTTTAACAATCTAGAAGTCAAAACATAATATTGAAAATGCTTTCACCTTTAAAAAAAAAATTTTTTTGACGCCAAACCGGTTCTTCCGATTCTTTCTATTTTTCCCGTCAAACCCGATTTTTTATTTGATTTGATTGAGTTTCTATCTATTTGATTTTTTAGGATAATTTGGATCGGACACTTGGTCGGTTTCCGGTTTGACCGCTCGATCTGGCTCGAGTTTAAAAACATAGCATCAAAGTTTACCTTTACTATTCTTAATTGTGAAATGCTTCTCATAAGATGCATTAGACGGAATTTAAATCCTCAACCTAATAATATATGAAGAGTTTTAAAGGGTTATTTTTGGTCATCAGACCAAGGCCAATGACTTCAATTCTTTGTTCATTGGATATCTCATTTTCGTTTATAGCTTTTCATATATTTTGGCTGATTAATTTTGACTCATCTTCTCATGTTGTGATTGCGATTGCAAAGAGAGAGAAAAAAAAATAAGGGTCTTTCCCAAACATGGTGATGGGCGAATCCTTCATTTTAAAATTCAAACAAGATGATCATTTGACATACACGTTACAATGGAATTGAATAATAGCGAGGTTAAGGATTTAAATTTTACTTTTCATCAATGATCACAATACGTGATTTCTCAAAAAATTCATACAGGTGCATAATAGATAAAGTGACGAAGTGATGATGACAAAAAAAAAATGATCATATATTTTACGCTTCTTTGGAGATTCACTAATGGGAGAGAGGTTAATATGCATGACAACATCCTATGACCTAATAATTACAAACAAAAAAAGAAGTAATTATTACGACTTTTTGCTAAGGCTTTGATATAGTTGTCACTTTATGAGTTTCAAACTAAGGAATTATCATGTGTTGAATTTTGAAAAAGCTACACCGCTACTGGACACTGCCAAACTGTCATCCGCTCAGATATACTGTAGCATGCAAAAATAGAGAATTCAATTTAGTGCTCAAGTTTCAAAACTCGCAGTACAAAAATTTAACAAGGTAACTAGACAAATTATATATTACTCCGTTTACTAATGGCAACTTGAGCATATAAGATTGTCTATGTTTCACAATAATGATTATTTACATGTAAATCTTGAAGTGTGTGCAATACAAATTTCTGCAAAATGGTTGTGCGGCTAGATTAGCCTGAAATTAATTTAGAGTTATATCCTATTTATAGTTTCACCCAGAGTCTCTCTTTAATCTGTTTTCCTTAATGATATACGGTCTTGGAGCACAATTTTTGTAGGTCATTAAAACACATTATATATTTCGTAGGTAATTACACAATTTTGTAGCTCATGATTTTTTTCAAATGGATATAACATGTTCTAATATAAATGCAAGTATGGAACAAAAGCATATTTAAGAGCAAGGCATTACACGTATTAAAGTTATAACCATACTCTCAATTATAGTAGCCATGCATTGACCTTTCAAACTAAATTCCCTGTATTCTCTCCAGATTTATTTTTTCCCCTTGAAAGTACCCTGCACAAGGTGTTGTGTGACCCCAAAATAATGACCTTGTCAAATCATGCACCTCATAGTTCTCAACTAGACTTGATTTCAAGTGGTGGGATGGTGGGGTTTTATTCCTCCGGCACCATTTGTTTGTTTAGGGGCTGCATCTGCAGAGGATTTCACAGCACATTCAGACGGGCATTTCGCATTTTTCATCATATGCAAGACTGCCCTCTTCACTTTGCTTCCCAGTTATCCAGTACTGTGTATATATTTTACAGATGTAGTATCTTTATTTACGCATTTAGCATAAGGTACAGGATCCCTTTTGGGTAGCTTTTCTCTCAATATATTGTTTCTAATAGCGTAGATAGGTACTTTTTCTTCATGAACTGAAACAGTAATTAGCATTAGTCATTCAATTTTGGGAAAGTACAATGAAGGTGGCATTTGGTTTTGAACCATAATTAATAAAGCACCGACCAGATTCGTCTTTAAATAAAATATATTGAACTATCTGAATTATTAGTATTTCTTTATTTGTGTCAAAGCCCTCCTCCCATTGACATTCACATCTACTAAAAAGAAGAAAATGATTCCGCCAGAGCAAGAATCGCCAGACAATAGAACTGCAACCAATAAAAAAGTACAGTCAGTATTTCCAAATCGCCCAAAACATGTTACTGTCCGGACACCTTCCAACATGGCAGCTTAATTGA